TGAATCAAATATGTATCTTTATTCATTTACAATAAACTCATAAAGTACATCATTCTGATTGAAGCTAAGGGCATACAAAACTGTCTAACAAAAAGAATATGTTCTGAAGTTAACCTGTAAACCTTATGATTCAGAGCTTCATGATAAAATGAGTTAAAGCAAATTTTTAACTCATAGAAAATGTAAATGGTTGTAATAGATCAACCAAATAATCTATTACACAAACAAAAAACTAATATTTAACTTCATGTTTGAAATGAATATTGAGCTAGCTCAAAGTGGCAATCATGTAAGTTAGGTGGACAATAACATTGTTACTTCACATATTTACAATATTGTCACCAACTTATGCTATAATACTATCTCTTGGATTCCACATAGTACTGACAGTGTTCATTGGGGAATATGTCGATTCTAGTAAATTTTCATTTTGCTACCCATGGAAGTGGAAATGGAAATATGCCATGGAAACTATCTCTTGTACTCCACATAATGCTGGTAGTGTTCATTGGGAAAATGTTGATTCCAATAAAATTTCGTGTCGCTACCCATGGAAATGAAAATACTAGGGAAATTAGGGGCATTTTAAACCACTCAAAACCAGAATTGCATGGATTCTCCTAAATGGATGAAGTGTCCATGCTAGACATCTGTCAGACTCTAACACTCCATAGATTATTGAATGTGATATGATATTTCTTTTCTCTTTATTTAGTCAACATAAACAAACATAAACAAACAGATAATGTACACAATGAATGTCATTTTTCCTATAAACTATTATCAAGTAACAATGATAGACTTTTGGGTTTTTTATAGTGGTTTATAATATTAAAATTTAGCAAAATATTTTAATAGTTTATGCTTTTCTATAGATGTGTCTATGAAGCCTTGTTACTTTGTCTTGCCAAGTCAGACTCCACCACACATTCAGATTCCGGTTCCCCTGTCCATGTTCATGTAACACTACTTGGAACTAAAACAGAAAGTTCTTGTAATGTTATCAAACTAAAGAGATCAACCTTGAAAAACTTAGTGGTTTGATTAAGTGACAAATGAATTATGCTTCATGCAACTGAGATCAAGTGAACTAGATGACTCGGGAAGATTCTGACAGTAGACTTTGAAAAATTGGAGAACAAGCTTCTATTCAAGATGTAAATAAGCCAAGTAAAACATGATAACATATTTAGATTACTAAGCATGGTAAAAGAGCAGCAGTCAGCATCATAATACTTGGGGGAACTGGACAATAAGGTAAAAGAAAACTCACAAGACAACTATATTCATGTTAGCTGCGGTGAAAAAGTTGGCACAAAATATAGGTAGATCAAACTCAGGTTCAGGTAAAACAGCAAGATCCAAAACCTGCAGAGAAAAATCAATACATGAGAAGATTTATGAGGAAGAAAGACTCAAGAAAGATTTTGACAACATAATATTCCGTAAGAAAGGATAGGGCCTTCCCATAGAATTTTAGACTAGACTTGCTTTCTCTATCTTTGTGATTTTTCATATATCTTTCTTGATTGGGGTCAACTAGACTACAACTTTGTGTGGTAGTGATACACCAATAGCAATTCATTGTGGATATTTGACGATATTTCTACAACAGCCTTGCTGAATAGTTGGAAGGAAGTGGCAGTTTCAGCCCCTAGCAAAGTTGTGTCCTATCCAATGTGGACTTCACCAGGTTATGGATTCACTAAGTTGAACTTTGATGGTAGTAATGAAGGAAATCCTGGCCTTTCAGGTGTTGGAGTTTTCAAGAATGAGGAAGGAGAAGTTATTGCACTGTTTTCAGGCCCAATTGGTGTGGGGGACTCACTTTAAGTAGAGACTTTGACTGTTTTGGAGGGTGCAAAAAGATCTAATGAACTGAACATTAGCAGGTTGATCATTGAAGGAGAGTCAAAATTGGTAATAGGCTGGATAGAAAAGGAGGATGATGGTTTGTGGAGCTACATTAATGAAAGAAGAAGATTTAAGTGGCTGACTAAGAATGGAAGTGAGACTGCAGTGGGTTAAAAGATGTGCTAATTCCTTTGCAGACAGACTTGCCAAACAAGGGGAGGGAAGGAATCAAATGATTTGGGCTATCTTGTAACTCTGCTGTTCCTCGTGGGGAGACTTAAGAGAGTTTACCTCTCCCTGCACCTGTACTTGTTTCTCATTGCTTAATTCTAATCAAATGGTTCTGTTATTGATCAAAAAGAAAGGACTGCATTCCATAGTTGTTTACTATTGCACAGGAAAGGAATAGTTAGGTGAAAGAAAATAATGACATTTTAGATGGCAGAGTAATTTGGTGATCCTTGCTCATAAGACATTTGAATGGTAGGGAAGTGCATATGATCTCTCAGCCTCTCCAAGCTTTAAGCAAAGTAGAGATTAATGTGGAACATGAGAATATAACCTTGTTGAAGTGGGACAGATCAAGGAAGTTTTCTTTGATGTCTTTTTACAAACATTTAACAGGATCAGATCATAATCTCTTTCAAGCTTCTCTTGTTTGGACCACCACTGTTCCCACAAGGTGTCCTTCCTGGTTTGGACTGCAGCTTTTAACAGGTGCTTAACTAATGAGAATTTGACAAGGGAAGTGCAGTTGATGGATGAAATTTGTATTATGTGCAATAGTTCCCATGAAACAGCTGATCATTTGCTTATTCACTGTGATACCTTAGAGGCACTTTGAGCTTGGGTGAAAAAGTTGTTTGGTGTAAACAACTGTAATCCAGAATCTGTAATTGATTTTCTCAGGAGCTGGCAGATGAAGGGGTTGAGTAAAGAAGGCTCAATTATGTGGAAGACTGTTGTTCAAGCTATGATGTGTACTATTTGGTCAGAAAGAAATATAAGAATATATGAAAATAAATTTAAATCTGAAGATAAGATGAAAGCTATTTAAAAGGGACAATTTTGTCTTGGGTTGGGATTCAGAGGCTGTTCAAAGACAAGTCTTATGATACCATTTTAGATAGTGATACTCTTTTTGTAAATCAAAGGACTTAGCTGTATATTCCCATTGTACAGATCCATGGTTGTACACGGGTATTTAATCTCTTTTATTTATTTAATGAATATACTTTACCTTTTCAGAAAAAAGAAAAGAAAAATGTTGTAATAAGCACTAAATGCAAAATGAGGCATCTGAAAATTAATTCACATCCAAAGGCACAGTGACAATCTTGAACAACATTAACTCAAAGTATTTGGCCTTTCTTTCCCTGCTCAAGAATAATCTGACGATGCAGGTTGCACCTGCAACCTTAAAAAAAGAAGTTAACCTATGAATTAGCACCTAATTGCTTCTTGGAGGAATCAGCACCACCAAAAAAACTAGAAGCAGAAACTCAAACTTCACTAGGGGCAACTTTTGTACATGAAAATCTTTGCGTAAAGCAGGGCTCAGTGGTATAGTGCTGCAGGGGCAACTTTTGTACAGTCCCTGATTACAGCTTCTGGTTGTACACGAGCTTTTGTTTTCATTTATAATATAATACACTACCTCAAAAAAAAAGCAAAAGGCACAAAGGGCATTACATATATTTTTAGGCAAAAAAGGGAGAGTGTAGGGTTGATCATTTTCTCCTAGGCCTGCATTGCTTGGCCTGGCCTATCCCAGAAATTTCTTGGTCCAGGCAGAAGGTTTTCTTCAAAGCTCAGGCCCTAAAATTCTAGGCCTAGACAGTCCAGCTCAGACCAGAAATTTAATATAAATAATATTTACTAAAATATTAAAATGTGTATAATAAATTTTATGCATATTTTTTGTAGTTTTGTATATAATAAAATTTTACTTTTTAAAAATATAATCTTATTAATTTATACATGCAATCCCCGGCCTAGACATATAATATCATGCCTGGGGTGTGGGCCAGGCCAGGCCTGCATAGCCCAAAATGTTTTTACTACCCTATAAAAAACTAGCCAGGCCCAGCCTGTGATCATCCCTAGGAGAGTGTGCCAGCCCTTATTTCCTACTTCAAAACCAAGAAATACTATTAAAAATTAACTAGAAACAAAGGCATTGAATTAAGACTCAGTAAGACAAACCCTAGTGAAAATAGGAACACAATAAATCCTACTTGACTTAGGACTATGACTTTGCCTTAACCCAATTTAATTAGTGTTGTAAGGCCTATTTAATTGTTACTTTATAGCTGCTGTTAGTAGGCTGACTTCTTAGGATACTGTCAGTTAGTTACTTGTTTTTTTTCTTATTATTTTGGTTCTAGGGTGTGCCGCCAGGGGCATACTTGTAATTTCTATTCCTTTATTAAGTTAATATAAATAGAAGACTGCCGACAGCCAGTAAGAACTTTTAAATCATTACATGGTATCAGAGCAGGTTTTCTGGGCTGTAAAAGACCTACGATCCCTCCTGGTTTGAGCAAGGTTTCCTTCTTTAAAAGTTTTGGACGTGGAAGACAGGGAAACCCTAGTAGGTTACTGGCGGAAACCCTAGCAGTTTTCTGGCGGCAGTTTCTGTGGAAACCCTAGCAGTTTTCTGGCAGCAGTTTCTGTGGTTTTTTCCTTGGTCGTAATACCAAGAAAACCCTAGTCGGAGAAGGGCGATGCTGGTACAGATTCCCTTCCTCCTCTGTTTGATGCTGTGAAGTCAAGTTCAGGTTAGCACCTTCGTACAAGTGYKRAMMRG